TTTTTCAAGTGCTCAGACACACACACACACATATAGAGGGAGAGGGAGGGAGAGGGGGGACATATACTGACAGACACAGATGAACAGTTGATTGATGATAAAAACTATCACCACCTTCCCGTCTATATGGCAAAGGACAAGCAAGTCCTGTGTCGGGGTTGCGAGAGCGCACAGGACTATGAATGCCAAGTCGGGTATTTGGCTAACTGTGATGATGATGATGACTGAAAAGCACAGAGAACAGATAAAAGCATGAATATATACATATACATATACATATACATGTATATACCTCTATGTATATGTCTGTTGATATTACGATGTGTGCATCCTGTGCTGTGCATGTCCTGTCTAATATGCAGCGATATATATTTTCCTTTTTGTGTCTCTTGTTTTAGTTTGTGATAAGAGCACGGAATGCCAATTGTGTCACACTGTGCAACGGCAGCACAGTGGTGCGTCAGCTATGTGGCGTAGGTTAGGGGTTAATTTAGTGTCCTTTTCACCGATGTATGTATATGCATGCATGCGTGAGTGTGTATACCCTATAAATGTGAAATGTGAAGAGATGCTGAAAGCATATTCGATAAATATCGATTAATTGATGGTTGTTCGAGTTCTATGATCAGTTTCAGTTAACCTGTAGAATGTAATGTAACTATTTACAGGGTATATTAGGCAAGCATCTGATGTGTTAGCTAAAACTAACTATGATATGGAGAACTACTCTACTAAGATATGAGAAACCTTGCAGAAATATGCTAAATGAATAGCTAACATTTAGTTTGAGTTAAGAGCAGCTAAGTAAGTCAAGCTATCTACAGGGTATAAGCCAATCGAATGAAAATAATGCGTGTGAGTGCAGTTGAGATTTGAATAAAGATCACCCCATTAATGAGCAGCATTACAGCTCACGCATCATGAGCATACACACACACACACACACACACATATACACACATGCTCACGCTGGAATTTTTCAAGTGGGGTGACTGATCCTGCAGCAGGAACACCACCACCATCACCATCACCAGCAGCAGCAGCAGCACCACCACCAACAACTCCACCACCACCACCACCACCATCACCATCAACAACAAGAGCAAGAGCAACGCCAACAAAGCGTCTCGCACAGCTGTTCCTAGTCACAGGCGAAGGAAAATATAGAAATGCAAGCGAAAATAATAAATACCATAAATTCCAATTGCCAGAGCAAGGGTGGCAAGGATACAGCACACAGAGACACACACACACACACACGTACGCACATTCCCTTATTAATGCACAACCTCAACAATGGCAGCTGTAAGTCGGGCCTAAGTCTTGTCTAATTGGAAATTACAATGAACCGGAAATGTTTGTAGCCCAAAATTGAATATGATAAAATGTACGAATAGCTCACTCTCTTACTCTCACTCTCACTAAATGCCACTCTCTCTGCCTCTCTCTCTCTCTCTCTGTATGTATGAGATTATGAAAAATGGCATAGTCAACCCCTATGAGGCCTACAAACACGTTAAGCAACCCCATTAGCCGGCCAAACCGAGGCAGAGGCAGAGGCAGAGGCAGAGGCCGAGGCAATGCAGCCGTGCATTATTATTAAATAGTTGCGCCGTTTTTATCGGGTTGACGTTGTTGTTGTTGTTGTTGTGCACCCTCTAACCCCTACAAATGCCCGATCTAGTTGCAATTTGAGTGTGAGTATGTGTGCGTGTGTACAGTTGCTTTGAAGCTTTGACCAGCTTTACAGTAAAAGAGTGAGCGAGGGAGGCAGAGAGTTAGAGTTAGAGATAGAGATAGAGTGAGATAGAGAGAGAGAGGGAGAGGGCGACAAGCGGAGGGAGCAGTCTAAAAAACATGATTTGAAATGAAATTTCTTTGCTGGCGGTTCTTGGAATTTCCCTGATTCTCATATACCATGACGCACGACGCGTCGCTGTCGACGTCGACGTCGACGCTGGCATTTTTGGTTGCCTTCCCCTAATTGTGTGCTTGTGTGTGTGTGTGTTTGTGTGTGTGCGGCACACTGGCTATGCCTTGAACTGGGACTGCATCCTGTCGCGCTGCCAACCATCCCCTGTGGAAGCAGCAGCAGCAGCAGCAGCGGCGACAGCAGCAGGAGCAGCAGCGGCGGCCAAAGGAGCGCACAAAACAAAAACCAAAAACAAAAAAAAAAAAAAATTTTGTGAAAAATAAAAGGCATTTCAGTTTCCATAGCGCGTTTCAATCAAACAGACGCGTTTCCTTAGATTTACCAACATTCGCTCGCGTCTCAGTTAAAATTTGTTTAAACGCTGCAACGCGCCCCTCCCCTTACCACGCCTCTCGCTCGCTCGGCTGAAAATGCGACACATATTCGTCTCGTGCGATTTCGCTTAAGAAATTGTTTACCAAACACAAAAAAAGAAACAAAATAGTGTTTCAATAGATTTTTGTTGTTGTTGTTATTTTTACTGTGCTGTGTGTTAATTTTGTATCAAGATTTATCTGAAGAGCGACTCAGATAACGGCTCCAAATTGGCGCCGTTCTCCAAGCACTTGGATTCCCTCGAGGAATTTAAGACCCTGTCCGGTGAGTGCGACACCCTGGACACTATAGACGCCGCCTAGCTATGGCTATGGCCTACCTGAGTGCCGCCACAGGCGCACAGGTAGCGCGACCAAAGCATTCATAATCTTTCGTTTGTTCGTTTTTTTTTTTTTTTTTTACCAAGTTAGCTAATGTTATCTATAACACATTTACATGCATAGAGACATATATGTGTCTGTATGTGGTTCAGTAAGTGCGCTCAGGTCAGTTTTTAAGTTTAGCAAAGTTATCTGAAATTTTTATATGTAGATACATATAAATCTATGTATATCTATCTATATCATTATCTACACATTTGGTTTTAATTTGAGCATATAGCTAAGATCCTTATTAAATGTATAGCACGATATATAGATAGATTTTGATATACTATGCATACATATTATACAAGTATTTTTAAATATTTGACGAGACTTTAGGACCAAAAAGTTATAGTAAATTTCTAAACTATTGGAAAGGTAGGAACTGTGGTTATACCCGGAATACGCTGAAATCGTATAAGTTTACTCATATAAGTTTATCTGGGAACGGTGTGGACGTTATAAGTTGAATTATTTTAATCGGATTCTACTGTAGATAGACTAATATAAACTATGAGAATTAGAGACTACTAAAGACAACTAGTGAGTAATCGAGACTACTTTGGACTGTGACAGGGGGCTAGAGACAAATGTCGGCGACTAGAGGCTACCAAAGATGAGTGGAGAATAGTAGAGAGAAACTCAAGAGATTATTATAGGCGACAAGAGACAACTAGAGATGATCAGAGACGATCAGAGACTAGAGACTACAAAAGGCCGCTACAGATGACTAGAGACGAGTAGAGAGAGACTCGTGAGATTATTACAGACGACAAGAGACAATTAGAGACTAACAGAGACGAGCAAAGACGAACAGAGACGAGTAGAGATTATCAAAGACAACTCTAAAAGTCTGGAGATTAGCAGAGAGACTTGACTGAATATCAAAGACTATTCCAGATGACTGCAGACTATTAGAGAGAGAGGGACTTGAGAGACTACTAGAGACTATAAGATATGATCAGCGGCTACTAGAGATGACTAAAAGCTATTAAATATTACCACAGCCGATTAGAGGCGAGAGAGAGTCTACTAGAGAAACAATTTTTGTTATTTGACATATTTATTTTAATATAGCTTAAGACTTTGGTGTGATTACTGCGACTATGAAGCTACTAAAATCTATAGAGGCTACTACAGAGTAATTTCCAGTATCGTAGTACTGGAGAGTCGTCTCTAGTACTGCTTAGATTACAGCCTATTACAGATTATAGATTCTTGCATGTAATACCAATGCATACCCTCCTGGGTGTATAGTATCAATTTTATATACAACTACTCTTCGAAGGACTAGAGCCTGAGACTGCATTTGTCCAGATATCTAATCGTTGCATACCTAAACATCTTGTGAGTTATAGTTTCGCCAGCTTTAATGATTTATATGAAATTTATCGTCATTAATCCGAAAACTTTCTCATAATCCTATCACGTTGATGCTTAAGATCTCATAAAATTAGTTTAAATTCCACTAAAATATTGAACCATTGCCATACCTATTCTTACCTATGTATATGTACATTATAAGTATGTACATCTATCTGCATATTTATAGTATTCTATACTGCCTGTATACTGCATAGGTACAGTATGCATCGCTTGTGACTGACTAATGTATGTTTAATAGCTGCTAATTCTTAGCTACTTACTGCTTGATCTCTGGCATTAAACTTGGCTATTGAACTGCTGCAAGCCGTGATGAGCACACACACACACACACACACACACACATACACACACACACACACACACACACACACACACACACACACACACACACACACATATAGCATGCCACTTGTGTGTGTGCGTGTCTGGCACTCGCTTAGCCAAATGATTATGCACTTGTGCTCAGCCATGGTAAATGATTATTATCAATTTGGAGTAGACGCGTTGATTGTCTCGTTGGTTTAACTATGTGCCGGGCGGCATGCCCACCCATCATGCTGCCGCCTCCACTCGCAGATACACTCACACACACCTATAGAGATATATGTGGCACCATTGTTAAATATATCAAATGAAAAACGTACTTAAGTGCGTGCTGAAGCGCTTTTCATCTCGCACACACAGCACGCAAATTCATAATGCATATCAACACCCCGGCCAGTGGGGATGGCTGTTGCACAGGTTTTGGGCCAGAACGTGTGCGGCACGGCTCTGGTGGGCGGCGGTATGGGGGACGCATTTTGGTGGAGTTTGACACAGATTTATGTAGCTGCGACCGCGCTTAAGACTTGTCACAGATCCCGCACTCAAAATCCATCCAAAAAATCGCTTTTATAAATTGTTTGTCTTATTTGTTGCTTTCTGTTTTTTCATTGCTATTGCAGTTGGACCCGGCACCATACCATCTCCGTGGCCACCAGTGAATGCCGGTCCTCCTGGTCCCCTGGGATCGGCAGACACAAATGGCAGCATGGTGGACAGTAAAAACTTGGATGTTGGCGATATGAGCGATGTAAGTAGAGACAATTCATAGCAATAAGAAATACATTTAAGGAAAAAATCTTTGTTATATTAGCTAAATTTATAGATATGTTTATCATAGGGCATATAAATATTATAGTCAATCATAGGCATATAATATAGTCAAAGGGTATATAAATATTATATTCAAAGTTTGGAATAGTTGTAATTTGATAAAATAAAAGTACTGAAACAGAATTTTTCCTACATGCCTCTTTATGAATAGATAGAAATTACTATATATAGAAGAAGACTTCTTCGATTTCAGTTCCTAAATGCGTGTGATATATACGCTCATAAATAGAATAGTAATTATATTGAAGACGGTCTATATCAATCTCCTTTCAATATCCAGCAACCAGAACCATAGATCTATATTGAACTATACAAATATATTCCCATAGTATCAGATTATAGTTTCAGTATATCAGATTATACAACACTAGGTCTATATTGAACCATACAAATATAATTTTAGAGTATCAGATTACAGATTCAATTTATCTATCTATCTAGATAGAGCTAGCAGATAGAACTACATAGAACTACATATATGACCATGTATAGGTCAAGAATTATCCTTGTGTTTCTTTAATGATTCCTATTTGGTTTTGAATAGGAATTGAGTATGCCTTAACGTAATTTCCCTTTTCGGATTGGGCTTGTAAATGGAATATGCCTCAAATGTCAATTCAATGGGGAAATTACCGTTACTAGGCTAAATATAATGGGCCAAATTGCATTTATTCCTAGTCCTGCATATTCGGGTGGTTGGCGACAGTTGACGCAAAGCGATCAAATTGCGCCTGCCAATCGATAAATAATCGATTAGCATAAGAAATTAATCAAATTGACCTTATTATTAGAGGAAAGTGCCAGGCGCTATGGTCACATAGTTATACTATTAAATAGATATAGCCGTGTGAGAACTAAACCAACTGATGGCCGTTTGATTTCTTCTTCTTTTTCCTATGCTTGCAGGACGAAAAAGATTTATCATCCGCTGATGCCGAAGGTGTCTGGAGTCCGGACATTGAGCAAAGCTTTCAAGAGGCACTGTCAATATATCCACCATGTGGACGCAGAAAGATTATATTATCCGATGAGGGTAAAATGTATGGTAAGTGATGCACTTTTCGAAATTTCTATTATATGTCAGAGAGTGCGGGAGAGGGCGGTTGAATGCGAGAAAGAGATGGACAGAGACTTGAGCACTTTACCTTGCTTGACTATGAATTTAATAACAAACTGCTTGCAAAGTTCTACTCTACTACTTGTATATATCTATCTCCCTGTCTCTTTCTCTCTCCCTCTCTCGCTGTTTCACTGTGCTTCTCTCTTTGGCTTTGTAGCCTTTCGTGCATTTCTATGTGTGTGCACATCGGTTGGGTGGGTAAAAACAGAAAACAAACAGGAATTTTGTGGTTGCCGCAGCTTGTTTCCATTGTTTGAGTTCTAATACCCTGTAAAACTAACACTGACAGCATTAATTTCGTTATCTTCAAAGCTATGGAATATAATATAAAAAGAAATAAAAGTATATACAAATTAAAGAATAATTTATAAAATACAAGAAAAGTATACTTTAAAAGAAAATTTGAAAAAATTTAAATAATGTAAAAATGAATATTATAGATATAAATACTATAAACAAAAAAACACAAACTAATATTAAAATATATGATCAAAAATAAAATGTAAAAAATGTATAACAGCAAATGAAAATGCCATAATAGAAATATATAAATATATACAAATAACATAATAGTAAAATATATAAAAAAAAATACATATTATAATAAATAAATAAAAAAAAAAAAATAACAAAAATAAAAAATAAACAAAAATAAATATATTTTTAATATATAATATATAAAAATATTAATAATAAAGTTTAAAAAATAAAAATGACAAATTAAAAAATATATATATAAATAAAAAAATATTGAACTGGTTTTAAAATAATAATAATAAGTTAATAATAATAATAAAATTTAATAAATAAAAATAACACAATTACAAAATATATGTAAAAAATACAAAAATTACAAAAATATTGAACTTATTTTAAGTTTATAATAAGTTAATAATAATAATAATAATGTTTATAAAATAAAAAAATCACATTAAAAAATATAGTTAAAAAAGTTAGAAAAATATTAAACTTGTTTTAGATTTCAATTTATTTTAAAAATATTTCCTTTGATTAAAATACCAATTCAATTCATAATTTTTGGGAAAATGTCGCTTAAATATGGTTTCATGAAACGTTAAGCCTAAAGGTCGATAATTCTGAAATCGATAAAATTGCTTTGGATTTTGAATAGATGTTTTAACTATTTTATTTAGAATTCACCAATTCTTGTTTATTTGTGTTAAGATCCGTTTCTTAATGTCTAGCATATCCATTAGGAGTATAACATATTTATGAGTCTTTTGGACAAATCATGAATATATTCTGTAGGGTATCTCCCAGTCATATGCATACAAAAAGTCAGCGCATTCTTACTTGTTTTTGGTTTTTTTTTTTTTTTTTTTTTTTTGCGTATGTTTGCGGCGGGCCGTGTAAAGAAAACATAAATTCCGTACTTTGAACCTTGAGCTGAAAGTTGTGTCAAAGCGCTTTGTGCCCAGGTTGCGAGCTGTGGGTGGCTAGGTGGCTGGGTGGCTGGGTGGCTGGGTGTTTGGGTGGTCGGGTGGTTGTATGGCTGACTGTGGGTTCGGATATGGCAACAGGCGATGGCAGCAGCGTTCAAACTTTGACACTGTGCCGCAAAACGCTTTGCCGTCGAGCTAAATGTGCTGACAACTAAAATTGTAAACGTAAACTGTAAGCCGTGTGCCGTATGTGTGTGCTATGTGTGTGTGTGTGTGTGTGTACAGGTGTGGAGTGAGCAGCGGGTGTTGGTTGTAGCATTTACAATAAAAGCTAAAAGGACATACGATGCCTGCGGCTTGTTGTCTTCGTCTGTTGCTGCCGCACCCAAATGGCGGCTCAATGGAATTACGACAGCAAATTGTGAGAATGCTGCGCCCTTGTCTCACTGCCTCACTGCGACCCCCCCACCCCCCCGCTCCCCCTGCGACCGCCTCTTCTCTTCTCCTCTCTTTGATTCTCAAACAGAGCGAAAGAGAGATAGGCATGGCCTGGTAATGTTTGGTTGCTGCTGCTGCTGCTGCTAGTCGCATCCTGTGTGTGTGTGTGTGTATGTGTTTTATTTGAGACGTCTACACGCATAAACAACAAGTTTTGTAATTTATGTCCCAGTGGATATTGTTTTCATTTTATGCTCGGTCTCGCCCAGTCGTCCTTTGACTGCATGCTTGTTGCATGAAAGCGCACACACACAGACATACACACACATGTTGTGTGTGTGTGTGCGTGTGTTTTTCGGCTAGAGCTCAAGCCATAGCCATGTCCGTATCCATGTCCATTGCTTGAATTGTTTTTGTATTTGAGCCAAGTAATTAATTTTCACTTTTCACTTTGGCTTACCTTGCCCTCCGCTCAGGGCTGAGCGGCTCGACACCTTCAGTTTGCATTTGTATTAAGCCCCAAAACAGAGCTGCGACGGCTAAGTGTGCCTCATGCCCCATGCCGCATTTACCTTGCTCCAAGTCCAAGTGATTTGTTGACCTGTTTCAGCATTGCTCTACCAATACATATATATATACATATATATATATGTTTATATATGTATATGCGAATGAGCATATTCTATAGTTGTTTTGGCAAAACTCACTTTAAACTTTGCGGAACATACATATAATTTCATTAATTTATAGAACTACGGAAAAATCAATAGATTGCCCAAGACTTACGGCATTACTTGACTTTAAAAATAAATAGAATTTTAAAGCATAGATAATAATCAATAGAATGTAATATATGCATGTATATAATATTTGGCACATATACTTAGGGATGCTACAGGGTCCCGGATAGTGTAAGCATCCGGGAACTGCTGAAATTATAATGATATATGCAAGAACATGTAATTTTTAAATTGAAATCAAATGATATGTATAAAAGATATAATGAAATTTATAATTTATGAAATTTATTTTCGAATGATATATGTAGGTCAGAAGCGTCAATCTCAGGACCTTTAAGAGCTACGGACTTGAAACTTTTATTAGAGTATTACTAGAATTTTCCTGTAGGGTTAGTTTGATTCCCATTCTCTAAGATACACATGTTCTTATGTGAATAAAAAAAAAAAGCAAACACGCAAATAACATAAATTAACCAAAGGAATTACAATAAAATTACAATAAAATTGTAATTGTCCAATATTTTATGGACTGAGAGTAGTCGCTGTACTATTTTCATAAACACAGCTGCATGTATGTGTGTATGTATATATATGTACTAATATCAACTATCAACTTGACTCACTTCACCTCGTTGCTTTAACTACCGCCTCTCTTCGCAATTCTCATTCTCATGCCAAGCTTTTAAAGTTTGATCTATAGCATTTTGAGAATGATATATGTATGTATGAGTACATATATCTATTTATGTATGCTGCGTTTCCCGATTGTGCGTTGTCCATCTATAAATCTTGTGCGCATTTTAGTGCATTTATATAGATCAGCTTTTACTCGCTTTTAATGTCAGTTAACCAGTTGGGCAATTAGCTGCTATTTGTAGGTATTAGCTGGCTATTGCGGCAATCGATTCGTTTAGGCCCGCCCGCACGCTCGCTCTCTCTCCCTCTCTCTGTTAACCAGATTGCTAAATATTCGGAAAAACATTGTGACAAGAGGCGGCTAAAGTTTTATTTATTGCCAACACGTGGCTTTAGCAGCCACTCTGCAAATTCCTTGATGCTCGCCAGCAGCTGCACGAAATGCTGCCAATGCAAAGGCCGACTAAGCGCATAAACGGGAAAAACGCGTTGCTGTTGTTGTTGGGAAATTGGAAAAATGTTTTTGGCCTGCAGGCTAAACACGAGACAACAAAGCTTGCGCGTGTTGGTGTTGTCGTTGGTGTTGTTGCTGGTGTTGGCGGTGCAGCGGATTAGCAGGAGTTGTTTGGGGGCGAACTGACGTTCGTCGTTCGGTTGACTCTGCTGCTGTCGCTGTTACGTTATGTGTGAAAATATAACCATTGTTTGGTTGTTAATTTTCAAAATATTTACATAGTCACTGAGCATGCATACACACACCCACACACCCATCCACCCACACACACACACACACACACACACACACGCCCATTTTGGGCTGATTATGACACATGACAATCGGATGGACAGCTGCATGCAGCAGGCAGGCAGCCAGGCAGCCAGGCAAAGCTTCGTGTTCTAGGGACTGCCTGACTGCCTCGCTGCCTGCCTGTCTGTCTGTCTGTCTGTCTTTCTGTCTTTCTGTCTGTCTGCCTGTCTGCTGTGAAATTTGTGGCCTAAAACTTTGTGCTCGTCGCTGCCACAAATATGCGGCGGCGCCGCCACCGCCTAGTGGCGACTTAGTCGGCTTATCACACACAAACACACACACACATACATTCAGTGCATGTATGTCTATGTCTCTCTCTCTCTCTCTCTCTCTCTCTGTGTGTGCATTTTCGCACTGTGTATAGCTCCTCTTGATTAGCTTTGGCCACTGATTTTAAGTGGTAGCCAAATTGCCTGCACAGCATTCAATATTTTACCAACACACACACACACACATACACACACACACACATACACATACATACATCTGCATATTGATGTTTGCATATTGCTCTTCGCTTTCTGCCCTGTTTTTTTTTTCGCTCATGGCCTGGAACCCTTAATCAACATGCATGCATCAAGCATGTACATAAAAGTCCTTAAAGTTCAGTGTTGCACAACGTACCAGAGACGGGCGCTCCCTCTCCCGCTCTCACTCTCTCTCTCTCGCTCTTATTTAATACCGGCACATATTGTGTTGCTGAGCATGAAGTGAAACAAATTTTGTTTTAATTTTATATAAATTTTATTTTTTACATTTTTCATGGGCGCATTTTTGAGTCAGAGATTTCAATTCTATTAAATCTACAAAGCAGTAAATAAATTTAAAAATCTGGAAATAAGTAAAATCTATATATTAATTAATAATAATTATATTGTGTCACATATAAATAAAATAAATAAAAATAATAATTATATTAATTATTTCTATTATAATAACATTTATTTTGATTTTAATATTATTTTATTTGATATCCATTGACTTGAAAAAGTTAAATTCTGAGAAACTTTTTTGACTGCCGAAAAGTTCAAAGTTCCCTAAATTAATTGAATACTATATATAAAATTTAAAAAAAAAATGTATTTCATTCAGAGATTTGATAATTATATTATTGACTTTCTTTTTTGCGTGCATAAAAATCATTTTCTGTGTTCAGCACCGTCTTCAATGCCATCTATAGCGCCTTAATTCTATTCAAGTATTCCTTCAGTTAAATTCATATACTATTTCATCTATATCTATATAGATCTGACTATACTATGCTGATATTTTTATGTGGTATATATACATATATATGTATGTACATATCTGCCTAATAATATGAAAAGCAATGCCACTTCAATTGACTGATTAACCTTTGTCACATTTAAATATGAGTACAGTTTTTAATGGGTATAAATGTAGGTGTGTATGTATGTGTATGCATGTATGCTTGTGTGTGTGTATTTTGTGTGCTATTGCTATATGTGACTTGCATACACAAGTATTTGTGGGATGGGAGGGAGCATGATAACTCAACTAACCAAAAAATTTAATATGAGCAAAAACGAACTTTTATAGAATTAAAGACATTTTCAATAGGCCGCAAAAATTACATTCACCAATATTTCTGATTCCTAAACAAATGGCAAATCATATTAAATATTTCATTAACTCCCTCTTATCGATAACTGAGGCATTTGATCAAATAGAGCTATCACTTTCAATTGAGCCAAGCCCGGATAGCTTATGTCTTATTCTACCTTATAATTTGTCACCTCACATTGAATTGGTATTCAAATATTTGTGTGATAAATCCGAAATTGAATAATTGAAAAATTTGCATTTGATTTAATAAATGCTGAAATGTCCGAGTTAACACTTGGAGCAATTATCGAAGTGAGTGCAGCCAGCACCTGTGTCCGCATCATCATCATCATCAACACCATCATCCTCATGATCATCATTGTCATCATTGTCAACTCAATGGCTATCAATTAAACAATTGTGAACTGCAATAAAGCCCCCAGTGGGGTCAGCATGAATTAACTTTTGTCGTTTGTTACTCGATAGCAACAATTCAATTGACACATGTCAATGATTTCAACTGTCGTCGTCTTGCTGCTGCTGCTGTGCTTTCGTTCTGATTGATTTAAAACGTATTGCAGATAACCCAGATACGATGTTAATGAATTTAAAACTTTGCACTCCCAGCGATTTCAGTTTAAAGGGAAACGTTCGTGTCATTAGGAAACACTTAACGTGATTCGTTTCCATTAGTCATGCAGGCTAAACACAATGCTCTATAATTAAAGTAATGCTCTAAGAGACAGAGAGACATTGACAGAGAGAGAGAGAGAGCGAGCGAAAGAGAGAAGCTCAGAGAGTGGGCGAGAGCGTGAGAGAGACACACAACTTTGTATATTTGTGTCGCACATAAAGTTTTGCCATAAATTCCATTTGAATTCCGCTCTGCCTCTTCCTTTTTTTGGGCCATGGCCCATCGATTTGCAAAGATTTAAAGCGTAAAGAAATTGAAATGCTTCGCTCTTCCTATTCATATTAAGTATATGCATATTGTTCGCGCTTGTGTGTGTGTGTGTATGTGTGTATGTGTGTGAGGGCGTGAGGTTGTGAGTTTGTGTGAGGGTAAAGCCGTTGAGGACTCGGTACGTTACTTGGCATCTATTTGTGGATAGGGCTGCATAACAATGGCTGGAACTTGTCATGCGAACCAGTCATATGAGCTGCATGGATTGTATAAGTTGTGCATAGAGGCAATAATCAGATAGATAAATGTATAAGTCATTAAAATTTGATTTATTAAACATTTTGGAACTAGTTCAATAAACTAGTTCACATATATTGTAGATATATTTATATACATATGCTATGTGCTTATTAAGCTTTAAGCAAAATTTTGCAATAAAATGCAAATTTTGGAACTAGTCATGTGAACCAGTTTACTGGGGGAAGTACCTACCTTGACAGAATTGACAGACATACATAATTAAATACAATCTAATAAATATAGACATATAAAAATATAAATATGCAAAGCTTAACATTCATATGAACTAGTTCACTAAGACTAGTTCACTTATATATGCATCGTAGATATTGTGATATTCATGCATAGAAAACTTATAATACTCATAATACAACATTTGCCAGTTGTCAATATGAACCAGTCAAATGAACTACGTGAACGAATATATGAGACATACGTTGTATTGAATATATTTATCAACTAGTTGACTCCAACATTTTACTTTTGGTATATGTATATGCATTGTATTCTACTCTATTATGTCCCTCAAACAGAATGCTAGCTTTGAAACCTGTCGATATGAACCAGTCAAATAAACTCTCAAATTTTATATAAAATATCAAAACTAACTACAATAGCTGTAAATATATACATATACATACTTATACGAGTTTATATATATGAACTTCCTGGTTCCATAGCTCTTGTTGTCTTTGTTCCATATATAAAACTGGTTCCGTCTCGTGCAGCTTCATTGACTTGCTCCCTAGCTGACGTTCAACTGGCATTCAAAAGGTGGTGGGTTGCTTGGGTGGCTGTGTGTCTTTGCGTGTATGTGTGTGTGTCGCTGTGTCTCTGTCTCTGTGTGTGTGTGTGTGTATGTGTGTGTGTCTGCTCCTTGTGCTAGTAATTCTTAACCGTACCCACGGCGCTGCCAATGAACGAACAAACGACCGACTGACTGAACGACCGACCCAACGAACGAACGAACCTCACCACCAACAGCAACAGCAGCAGCAGCAGCGCCAGCAGCCCGGAGTTTGTGCGCCGGATCCGGCAATATGCGTGTGCTTGGCTGGCTGTGCTGTGCAGTGACGGGGTTTGAGTCGCTGAAAATAATTTTATTCGGTTAGAACTGAAACTATGCCAAGAATGTAATTAGTGAACGCATAAGCGTGTGTACAATAAAAGCTGGATCGCTGACGGGTCTGGGTCTGGGCCTGGGCGGCAGTATGGTGTCTTACGGCTGCCAAAGCGCAAGCTAAAGGATGACCCGCCCACACTGCTCCACCTGCCCCATCTACTTAGCCAACCTCGCCAGTCAGCCAGCCGGCAGTGGGGCAATGGCAAGGCAACGACAACGACGAAGACGACGACGACGACGGCGACGACGGCGACACTGACGTCAGTCGGAGCCACATTCTGTCCGCACGTGAAAATGTCGTTGGGCTTTCAATGAAATTTCTGAGGCAGGCGTCGCAACTGAAGCAGCATTTGATTCATTCATCCCATAGGGTTTTTTTTTTCTCCGCTCTCTCGCATCCCCAGATGCTGCTGATGATGTTGATTCTAAAAATATTCCCCATTCTCATTAAAACGCTTTAATCGTGGCACTCCCGACTACGACTACGACTTCGACTCTAACTGTGACTCCGTCGAATTGTTTTCACGGTTCTTGTTTCGTTTGATCCGTGCACAAACAATTTTAGATGGAATTTCAAAAATCTGAAATAAAAGGCTTATGAAATTTGTAACATATTCATTTGTTGATATTTACATTAGAATTATAAAATTGGGCGCATTCAGAATGTTACGTAAAATATGTATAAAAGAAGTTAGATAAATGTATAAAAAATACTGAAGTTAGATAAGTGAAGAAATAGGCATATGCTTATTCAATATATAATATGGAAAAAATTAATAAAATAAATAAATAAATATACCACATATTTAAGAAGTCTATCAGAATGAAGTATGATATAATTAAATTAAAATATATGAAAATATATAAAATGATGCAGATGTATATGTAAATCTCATATTTTATATTTTAAAAATAATTTGGAAATCTATTCAATTTTTAATCAGGTCAAATATGTAAAATATTTTGAAAAATTAAGTGAAATAAATATATAGTGAGTAACATTAATATTTAGTTTTTTTTATTTTTATTTTTCAACTTTCTTCCGGTTTGTCTATAATCTTTGTTAGTTATGCTAAATACACTATATTGATATATACCTCATCTAAAATTTAGCATTTACCCTTTTTTAGTTTCAATTAATATATATGTTTTATAGGTGTTTCAAGTTAAAAAATAAAATCAAATATTAATGTTACTTACTGTATATATAAAAAAAATGATTTATATATACATATATATTAATCTCTGATATTTTATATTCCCAAATTAATTTGGAAATCCATTAAGTTATTAAATGTGCCAAATATGTGGAAAGAAATAATTTTGAAATCCATTAAGTTATTAAGTATGCCAAATATGTTACAAATCGAGGCATATACCTACATATATCTGATATTTCATATTTTTACAAATATTTAAAGTCTGGCAAATAACTATGCTCAATATGGTCTGCAAAGAAGCGTAACTTGGTCTAGATTCATGCCTGACTAGGTGCTAAAAATGTGCAGTTATATGTCTATAATACAGTTGTTATATACATATATGTACGTTAATATATATTATATCTAGCATTTATATTATATATACATTTTTTTTTTCGATTACGATTTACATCGATGTCTGATCTATGGAATGCATTTTCGATTGCATTATTATTTCTTAAAATTAATTAGAGTTTTTCTTGTTTTGTTTTTCTGTTTCGTTTTTATAGGGCGCAACGAGCTAATCGCGCGTTACATCAAACTGCGCACGGGCAAGACGAGAACCCGTAAACAAGTCAGCTCCCATATCCAAGTGCTCGCCAGACGGAAACTCCGTGAAATTCAAGCCAAAATCAAAGTCGTAAGTGTGCCAAATCTGTGTATATCGATATACATATATATATATACAACTCTCAATATATATATATATATATATGCATCTACATATATACAACTATATATAGTATATATTCCAAATGTGAAGAGCAAACAGAATATAGCAAACAATTTGCCATACGTTAATTGTCCACATGCTTGCGCATAAGTACATTTACAGTAAATTGTTTAACCAAGTAGAGTTAAGCTCACGTTCACACACACACACACACACACACTCCCTCTCTCTCTATATCTATCTGTGTGAGCTTAACTCTGCTCTCTGTATTTGTTAATGTGGAAATTTTGTCGATAAGCAAATCTAGCCGAAGAGCATGAAAAGCAAGGAAGAGTTTCTCAGTTGCAAGTGGAGCCCAGTTCAACAGATCAGTCAAATATATATATATGTATATATACATATATGTGTATATCTATATATATATACATATGTATGGTACACAAATTGTTCAGTTCATTATCAGACACACACATATGCACACACACACACACACACACATACACACAGTTGTGCGTGTATTGGTGCTAAGCGGAGTCTTGTGGCTTTCATATGTGAGTTTCCCCCCCTTAGCCAAGTGACGTCTGTCTGCAGCTCAATGATAGAATTTGATAATGCTTGAGTGTGTCGTCATCTCTCTCTCTCTCTCTCTCTCTACACACAAACTGACACCCACACACACACACACACACACACACACGAGAGCCAAACAACAAAATGACAATCTGTTTTCCAGGAACCAAATGGTGTCTCCTTGCATTTACTCAATGAGAAAGAGCAAACCCTGCAGGCCATGAGCTCAATGACCAGCTCACAGATTGTCTCCGCCCAGGCGGCCAATAATCTAGCGTTGGCCGCCTCGGCGCTCACGGCGGGCGTGCACCAGCACGCGAAGCATTTGCCGCAGCCCGCCCACCATCAGCATCCGCACCATGCGCACCTGCACCACCATCACCACCACCATCATCCGCACCACCATCATCAGGTGGGCGTGGCGGCGGCTGCAGCTGCTGCCGCTGCCGCTGCTGCTGCGGCTGCGGTTGCCGTTGCACAGTCACCGACGGCAGCTGCGGGTGGTGCTGGTAATGGTAGTGCTGGTGCTGGTGCTGCTGCTGGCGGTGGTGCTGCCGGTGGTAGTGGTGGTGCAACTGCATCCAGCAGCGTTGCATTGCCGCCGTCATCGTCGTCGTCGTCGTCGTCGCCACGACTACACCACCACCACCACCACCACCCAGTCCACCATTCCCATCACAATATGCCGCACCACACGCATAGCCATATGCATCCACATCATCAGCAACATGCGGCGGCCGTTGCAGCAGTTTACCACCTACAGCAACAGCAGCACCAACACCTGCAGCAGCAACAACAACAGCAACAGCAGCACCAACACCTGCAGCAGCAACAACAACAGCAACAGCAGCACCATCAGCAGCAACAGCAGTCAAGTGGTGGAACAACAGGTGCAGTGTCACCATCAGTGGCCGAGCCACCGCTGCCACCGCCGCCGCCGCCATTGCACCACCCGCCGTTGTATCCGGGCGTAAGCAATCAGATTCAAGTTATCCATGCTAAGCATACGAACCACTCAGAGCCGCCAATATGCCACTTCACATCGGTGTACAAATTCCCAAAACAACAACAACAGCAACAAGCAAACAAAAACAACAATCAGCAACAACTAACAGAAGCAGCACACCTCTCTCTCTCTCTCTCTCTCTCTCTATCTATCTCGCTCGCTCGCTCCTCTCATGGCTCTCGTCTAGACTCGTCCTTCCGTCACATTGCATTCACATCGATAACCCCCCATTGGCCACCCACTCGCACACACACACACGCACACACTCACACAGGCACGACTCACACTCATTAGTTGTAACAACAATTCATTAGCTGATCGAACTGCTATACTTCGGGTCTGCTCTAATTGCGCTCGCTGGCTGAATCATCGGATCATGCGTTTCGTGTATTCGTGTATTGCGCTCGTTTATGTTTGTGTACTCATGCTCTCTCTCTCTCTCTCTCTCGCTCTAGCTGTCGCTGCTGCTTTCTCTCTCCATCTCTATCTGTTGGTGCCTGTCTCGCCCTCTATTTCTCATGTCATTTCGTTTGCTTGTCTTTTAAATCGTGGTGATCTCTGATCTCTAATCTCTGATCTCTGATCTTGTCTTTGCCTTGGCCTTTCTCTCTCTATATCTCTCTTTGTCTGTTTTACTCTATTTTTCACTCTCTTTTACCTTCTTTATCTCATTCTCATTTTTTTTACTCTCTATTCTTTGCCATTATCTCGCTCATACTCTCTGTCTCTTTTTCTCTCTGTCTCTCATTCTATTTTTCATTCTCTTTTGCCTTTTTTATCTCATTCTCATTTCTCTCACTCTCTACCCTATGCCTTTCCCTCGCTCATACTCTCTTTCTCTTTCTCTCTCGCTATCTCTCACTCAATTTTGCACTTTCTTTGACCCTCTCTATATCATTCTCATTCTCTATCCTTTGCCTTCTCCCGCTTATACTTTATCTCAATCTCTCTCTCCTTCTCTATCTCTATGTCTCTCCCTCTATTTTTCACTCTCTTTTACCCTCTCTATCTCATTCTCTATTTTCTCTCTCCGAATATCGCTTTCCCGCACTCTCTCTTCCTCTTTCTCTCTTATTCGTTCTTTTCCTCCCTCACTCTCCCTCTAATTCGTTATTTAGCTCTCTCCCTCCATCTCATTCACTCTTTCTCTCTTGCTCTCTGTTTCTATCACTCTCTTTCTCCTGCTATCTCACACTGACCTACTCTCTCTCTCTCTCTCTTTTCTTTTTCATTCCCTAGCAGTCTGCCATTCCTATGCTTCTCTCCTCCATTGATCTTTATTGACTTGCTCTCAGTGTTGCTTTATGCTCTTGTGCTTAACTGGTTCTATGTTGTCCATAATGTGCATACGATTATAATTTTGTTGTCTACTCGTTATTCACCACACCCACACACACACACACACACACACACACACACACACACACACACACACACACACACACACACACGCAAGTTACTCACCACACGTTTGCTCGCAATTCAACTTGTTACTCGCCTCCCTTTTTGTGATTGACTACGACTCGTTATTCGCCGTTATTTGTCACTCTCTCAATCTCCCTCTCTCTCTCTCTCTCTCTCTCTCTCTCTCTCTCTTTCTCACACTCACTCGTCACTCGCTACTCGTTATTCGTGTGTCTAGAGGCCCGAAAATCCACCTGCTCAACGCTCGCTTGCTCATTGAAATCGACTCCTTGCTTTTGTTATTACATGCCAACAACAACAACAACAATTATTAAACGACATCAATAAATATCTAAACAATATATATGTATATATAATTATATATGTGTATATGTATATAGAAATGTAAATATTAATATTTAACAAAATATTTTGCGTACATAACTGTACTGGTCTATTTGTATATGTATGTAATCATCGGCAATCAATCAATCAGTCAATCAATAATCGCTCAATCATCTGTCACACATCGGCTATGTAACCAAATCAATCAATCAATCAATCAATCAATATTAATGAAAACGTGCTTAGCTTTAGTGTTGTAAAACGTTCATTTATATTAACTATGTGATTTCTCTCTCTCTCTCTCTCTATCCCCCTCTCACGCACTTGCTTCACGGCTGATTTAGCAATTTTGGCAACCCGGCCTGCAGCCGAGCACATCGCAAGAGTAAGTTGGCATCGCTAGCCCAAAATCGAAAAAAACATAACGCATTTGCATTGACCAATAGTTTTTATGATTACAGCATCAAGCCGTTCGCCCAGCCGCCCTATACGCCCGGCAAGCCATCGACGGCGGTGTCCGGCGAAATCGAGGCTGGTATTCCGCCCGCACAATTGCCATGGGAGGGACGCGCGATTGCCACACAGAAATTCCGCTTGCTCGAGTTTACGGCCTTCATGGAAATCCAAAGAGATGAGATCGTAAGTGCTATCGAAACCTCTCTATATTTGTATGTGTGTATATATGTAAATATCGCTTCTTCTCTTGCGTAGTATCACCGACATCTATTCGTACAACTGGGCGGTAAGCCATCCTTCTCCGATCCGCTGCTTGAGGTGAGTCTAAAATACCTACATATATCTCTCTCACTCTCCCGACATATATCGATATGGATCTATTGCTAATCGTTTGCTTATTTCAGACTGTTGACATACGACAAATATTCGACAAGTTTCCGGAGAAATCCGGTGGTCTCAAGGAGCTTTACGAGCAGGGTCCACAGAATGCGTTCTACCTGGTTAAATGTTGGGCGGATCTCAACACGGACGTTACGACGGGCAGCGAAACGGGTGATTTCTATGGCGTAACCAGCCAGTAAGTTAAACCTACCTACCTATCCGCCCCACTACTGGCAACCCCACCTCCCTCAGGCCCTTCGATAGATAAATCTAATTGAATTCCTCACTCCACACAGATATGAAAGCAATGAGAACATTGAGCTCGTCTGCTCGACAATCGTCTGCTCGTTCGGCAAACAGGTGGTGGAGAAGGTGGAGCACGAGTATTCGCGCCTGGAGCACAATCGCTACGTTTATCGGATTCAGCGCTCGCCGATGTGCGAATACATGATCAATTTCATACAGAAGCTGAAGAACCTACCTGAACGCTACATGATGAACAGTGTGCTCGAGAATTTTACAATATTGCAGGTGAGTTCATGAGTTCATGAGATGAGATGAGATGGGATGGGATGGGATGAGAAGTCTCCTTCATCATCCTCATTCTCTTATTGAACACACTTAACTCTAACTAACTCCATCTCTGTCTGTGTAGGTGATGCGAGCGCAGGAAACGAAGGAGACACTGCTATGCATAGCGTATGTGTTTGAGGTGGCGGCGCAGAATAGCGGCACCACGCACCACATCTATCGCCTTATAAAGGAATAGCATGAGCTGCATGAAGCAGCGCCCAATCTGTCCGCGTTACCCACCAATGCACAAATCAGCGAATACAGCAACAGCAACAACAGCAGCAGCAACAACAACAACAACAACAACAATACGAGTAGAAACCACAACAGCACAAGTAACAACAACAACAACAACAGCAACAACACAACCAGCAGCAACAGCAACAGCAATAATAATAATGCCAACAAGAGCAATAATAACAGCAACAGCAATAATAATAACAATAACAACAACAACAACAGCAACAGCAACAACAACAACAATTCGAGCAGCAACAGCAATATTGCTGCCGCCGTCACAGAGGAAGCTCTGCAGGGCGTACAGGAAACCATTTCGACCGTCATCAAACAATCGCCAACATCGCCGCAGCATCAGCAGCGACAGCAGCAACTGGGTGGCATTGCGGCGCTGCAGGTGGATGAGGTGCTCTATGCGCAGGTGCTGCCAGAGAATAGCTATCAGGTGCAACAGCAACAGCAACAACAGCAACAACAACAACATCAGCAATTGCAGCAGCAGTTGCGTCAAAACACGCACATGTTGCTGCAGCAGCACACAACGCAACAGCAACAGCAACAGCAGCAACAGCAACAACAACAACTTGTGAATTACCAAGACCGTCCACCGCCACCGCCCTACAATGCCTGCATCAGCACCAGCAACAGCAGCAAGCAGCAACAATTTGATGTGGAGCAACAGCAACAGCAGCAGCAACAACATCAGCAGCAGCAGCAGCAACAACATCTAACCACATACGAACAGTTCCTGAAACTGTCCGCTCAGGAGTATACCCAGCTGAATGCAGCTGCTGAAAATGCGGCGCTCAATCTGAGCAGCATGGGCGTCAGCAAGGCTGGCGAGGATGAGCCGCATGTGGTTGAGGCGTCGCACGAGCTGCGCCTGTTGCGTCAGGTGAATGTGGCCAATGCGAATGCGAATGCCAATGCCAATGCTAATGCCAATGCCAATGCAAATGCGAATGCGAATGACAATGTTGCCGATGCCGATTGCGAGCAGTAGTTGTAGGCGTGGCATGCTGTTAGTTTAGGCAGTTAGTTATTTAGCTCTATAGATAAATATACAGTTATGGCGTTTTATTATGCACACGCAACAGACACGCACACACACACACACACATACACACACACATGAGATCTCGTACTGTATTAGTTTACTCTTATGTAATTCAATGCATTGTCGAGCTCAGCAGCAAATCAATTGAAAAATCCTTTCTGTCTGTCTGTCTGTTTGTGTGTTTGGGTGTGCGTGTGCTGTGCCTGTGTCTGTGTCTGTGTCTGTGTCTGTGTCTGTCTGTTGTCTGCTATCAGCGAAGTAATTTTTTTATATACATCTTTACATACATAAAAAAAAATACATTTAAATGATCTCAAAGTTACTTAAAACATATTTTTTGTGTGTAATTTGTATGTTTATCTTCTTCTTATTTTTGTTTTTTTTTTTTATTGTTTTTAATTATAATTTTTTTTTTTTTTCAACAAAGAAAAGGAAAAATGCTAATAGAAGCAGTTGTTGTGCGCTGATTTATTAAAAAAAAAAAAAATAATAAGAAAAAAAACGAAATGAAAAGAATTTTTTTTTAATTTTGTAAAACAACAACAAGAAAATTACACCACAAACATTTGGCAGTTGCAGATGTTTGTATATCATGTATTCTACATTTTATTCTCTAGACATAGACATATATGTATATATATATATATCTATATATATGTATAAATATTTATATATATATATATATGCATATATATACATTTTTTTTGTGTGTGTTTATAGCTATTAGAGTTATGGAGAGCATAATGTATAGTAATCTAAAATTAGGTACTTTTAATTACATGTAAATCGCATCAACTTTGAATGTGCAGTTGCAGCTAGGATTAGATAAGCTGAGTTGAGAGCGAGAGGGCGATAGAGAGAGAGAAAGAGATAGTGCAGAGTGGGTAGGACGCGTTGCCTTTAAGGAGCATCGAGCAGTAAGAGAAAAACACACACTAAAAACGAAAAAAAAAAATAGAACTTAAAAAAAAATGTTTTTTTTTGTTTCAACTACAACAACAACAACAACAACGACAACTGTTGCTTTTGTGTGTGTGTTTTAAAAGCCACAATGTTATTTCTCTATATACTTATGTAACTATAGTGTAAACGTATATATACATATACATATGCATATATATATATATACATATGTATATGTGTGTAAAACAATTCATTTAAGCATGAATCGAACGATCCACCGTTATTAAAATGATTAACTATTGATTTAAAATATGCAACAACAACAAAAAACTATTTGAAAACAAAAATTAATTTAAAGAAAAAGAATGCTAAAAAAAAAAAAAAAAAAAAAAAAGAACAAATTCAAATGTGAGCTAGAAACTTAGCTTCAGAATGCACTCGACGCAAGCGGCGATTCGCACAGCTGGACAAAGTTTGGATCAAGTGGAATGATAAAGAACTATATATGTATGCCATATTGAATGCTGCGAAACTACAACTATATATACATATGTATATGCAATCTGTGTATGTATGTATGTATGAATCCATGGCCACGAATCTATAGAGGCAAGCGTGTGGTTGGATCGCCGCTTGCTGTCTGCATTGAGCGAATGACACCGATAATTACAAAGAAATACAAGAGAAAGAAAAACGTAAAATGCAAAGAAAAAAAAAAAAAAAAAAATGCTAATACTAATTTAAATTAAAAGAAATTGTATTGTAAATGTAAAATAGTATCGTTTTCGTATATGTATATGTAGTTAGACTAAGGCTAAACTCTAACTCTATATAAAGATATAGAAAGTATAATACAAATATATATAAATATTTATATATATAAAAATTTATATATATATATAAATATATATATATATATATCTATAAATGTAAAGTATTTCGTTGTTGTACGATTAAAACAAATACGCATTTTTTTTTGTTAGTAATAAAACTCAATTCAACTGAAAATGCATCAAATCAAACACGAATGCACAGAGAGAATGAGAGAGAGAGAGAGAGAAAGAGAGCTATAAGGGAAATTTGTAAATTTGACAACAAACAAAGGCATAAACAATAATGAAATCAAAAATACAATAGTAAGAGATATTAAAGAACTTTGCTAAAATTACAAAAAAAAAAAACTAAAGAAGAGAGAAACGAAAATTTAGTATAAATAAAATATACACACAAGCCCAAACACACACACACACACACACACACTTACAGTAACACTTGAAAGGGGTAAACAAAAGAGTAACAATAATAATAAATTTAATGCAAATCGAAAACTATTTTAAAAATTTTTAATCATGAAACAGTTACAATTACATATATTACAAAAACCACTTTATATAAAAAGAAAACTATATATAAAGAGAATGACAAAAAAAAACAAACTAAACATAAGTGTAACTACAGTGAAGTAAAAGAACAAGACACACATGAAACATGAAAAAAAAGAAACTTAAAAAATAAAAATAAAAAATAGTGCCTAACACAGAAGCAAAGTATTAAAAGTCAAACCAACGCCAGGCAGCGGAAATTGATTTTAATTATTATTTGTTTCATTTTGAGTTTTTAGAAATCAAAAAGCTTGTTTCACAAATTTCTTGCCCATTACGAAAAACAACTCTCATACAACTAAAGAATACAGTTATAGTTATATATATATGTGTGTATATAGAGTGCTATATATATGTATATACATACAGGTGTGTGTGTGTTAGACTTTTGATTTTTGTTTTTTTCTGTACAAAGCTCGATATTTGCGTTCAATCTCACTTGAAACACTTTCAAAGAATCTGAAGCAGAAAAACAAACAACAACAAAAATCCGTTCAGTATCAAGTTAGAAACCACCTTACGAACTTAGTTTACTATATATGTATATATATACATATATTTATATATCTTTATATATATATATATATATACATATATATATATGTTGCCCCTCTGCTCCGCCACTCAATAGCCCATGTCCCTTGTACCCAAAGCAATCGGAGAGCTACTTAGTTTTAGACTGTCCCAAGCAAAACAAACTCTTGGCCAAAGCCGAGCTATTTACACCCTTTTGTTAACTGGTTTTGGCATATATTTTGTATAAATCTGATTTGTACAAGAATAAAACCAATTCGATTTCATATTCACATTTGATTTGTCCAAAATTTACTAGGTTTTTTTTTTTTTTTTTTTTCTTAATTTTCGACTTAAGTTTATTTTGAATATACATATGCAATAACAAATTGTTGTAAGCAAACGATATAGAAATTACAACATATATATATATATATATATATATTTATATATGTGTATATACACTTATGTGCAAACGCAGGAAACGTGTAATGTCCCGACTATGCAGCAATCTAATCCCTGTAACTTCCTCGATTCAACATGCTCCATGCTACAGTTTAAGTTATGTTTGGGTCCTGTTTTTTTTTTTTTGCGCAGATAGAAAATTTAAATATGTTTATTTTATGTTTATGATTATTTAATTTTTTTTTTTTTTTTTTGTGAAAATACACTGTAATTTAATAAGCAAGAATGAGATCATCAAAAACCACCATCATCATCATCATAATATATATTCAAAGAGAAGAGGAAAACGAAAACAAAAAATAATAGTGCTTAAATCAATTATTAATAAATTTATAAATAGTTCTAAAGCAGAAGATAACTGAAAACAATAACAAAGCAAGGATGAACAGTGAATATGCAAAACAATAAAATTGCAATTATATTTATATAAATAATTGCAATTCACGATTTAAGCTATATATATAATATATATACTATATATATATATATATATATATGTATGTATAAATCGATCTATATATATATGTATGTATATATATACTATATACTATATATGTATATGTATTTTGTTTTATATTTGTCGTTCAAACAAAATACTAGAATCGAACGAGCGCAAATAAGGGAGAAAAGAAACATGTGAAATTTACGTAAGGAAAAAATGTGTCATTTTAATTTTTACACTGAAATGCATTAATAAAAATTTTAATATATTAAAAAATCTCAAAAATTCCTAGTCGTTATTATTTACTTTAGCTGGTTTCATATTTCTAGATGCGCCTGGAAGATAAGTATATAAACAGCAAACAGGCGAGATATTCAGCAAATCCTTATATTATTTTATAATATATTACATTTATTTTTAATTTAGCTGGTATGGTATTTCAAATATGATAAGCAAGATGTGCCTGAAAAATTAGACCAATTAGACGAGATAGTCAGCATACTCTTATTATTTATTTCGGGAGTTACATCGGGTCTGGAACATTCAGCAGTTCTATGAACTGCTATACATCTAGAATATGAAGATACCCCATCAAGCCAATGACCATGCTACAGTCAAGTATGGCCCCTTCACAAAGTACATACAACTTGAAACATTGCATTGCCATTAACTATAGTTTTTATTGTTACATATTACATATACACATACATATTGAACGCAAAAGCTAGAAACTGCGTAAAATAATTTCACTTGGACATCACGCGCACACATAAAGTTTATATAAATCAAATTGTCTTGTCGTTTTGTCTTTTCTTTTTACTGATTGGATTGTTTGTTTCAAAATATATTGTTTGCTTTGTTTTGAAAATATTTAAATTTTAATTTATACAATTCATATTCGTTACATATATATTATTATTTTCATTATCGCTTGCGTCCAAAAGTTCATTACGAAAGGATTCGTTTCTATGTGATGCGGGCTGAAGTTGAATTGTTTTAGCAATCCTATCAACGATGTTTTTAACTATAACTTGTAAAAGGTACAATTTCTAAATATCAAAAGGCGAAAAAAAATATTGGGAAATTACGTTGAAAAGGAAAAGGGTTAAAAGTTGGTATTAAAATTGAAAGACAGCATGCCGTGAATTTACAAGGACACTAACTGCAAGAATCAAGCGCTTGGAGGCTGCTCACTCAATGAATTTTTGAGGATTTCTCTCTTCGGGGTATTTCTTTGTTTTGTTGTTGTTGTTGATGTTTTCGTTTGCCAATTTTAGTGTTCTTGATGTTGTTTGCATTAGTTGGTGATTTCCTTATTGCTGTAGCGGAGCCTGTTCTGTTAATTGAAAAGCTGCGTTGCCCAGAGATTGCTAGGCAAACAGTAGCCAGCCGATGCATAGAAAGGCGAGATACAAAAACAGTCTCGACAGCGTCTGCTCATCGTCGTACTGTGTGGTACCGCGATTAGCAGCTGCAAATGAAAATTGCACCAGTTAATAATATATGCATTTATTTAAGGTAATACCCAATATATGCATACTCACCTGCTGGCCGCGGTTCGCCAAAGTTAAGTGATGATGTAAAGAAACCAAAGGGAAAAGCACCAATGCCGAATGATACATGGAAGCTATCACCAAAACCAAACCCCGGGAAGCCAGGCGCTGGCTCGGGCTCTGAGCGCTGCCCGGCAGGACGCGGCGGCACCTTATTGCTGCAGAGCACAAAAGAAATGGATAATTGCAATTGCATGAATGTGAGCCGTTACGTTGCACTTACCGTGGATCTTCTTGGCGTGTGCTATTGCGACCATAAAGTGGTATGACTTTGTCCTTGTCAACGGCTGCCTTGCAAACGGGGCAGAGCTTGCGATTTGGCCGTGTTAGCAGCCACTGATGCAAGCAGGGCCAGCAGAAGAGATGGCCGCACATGCTGACCACCGCATCCTTTGCCGTATCCAAGCATATATTGCACTCGTACAGTGATTCCTCGTTTTGTTCCTTGTCGTTGCTGTTGTTGTTGCTGCCATCAGTGGGTGGAGTTGCTGTTGCTGATGCTGATGCTGATGCAGATGCAGTTGCTGCTGTTGTTGTTGTTGATGATGACGACGATGGGTTCGCCTCATTTGAAGCCGACCCATTCAGATCTGCAATATTGCCGCTGGCCAGGGCGCTGCCCGTGAATGAATATGATGTTGACCTATGGCGCAACTCCGATGAGGACTCAGCGGGTTTCTTGGCCCAGCCAATATTGTCAGTGTCCACACGCTCCATGGCATTGTTGTTGTCGTTGCCATTATCATTGCTGCCGGCATCTGATGATGTGCTAGGCAATTCTGGGGCAGTGGCCAACTGTGGCTCGCCAACCATAGTGGCTGTTGCCGCTTCCATATCCCACACTCTGTATTTACTTAACAAATATACCGCAAGACTTTAGTGGTTGATGGCTTGCTCAAACGTCCCTTAAACGCGTGATCTAAATTTAAACAAAATATACAAGAAAATACAGTTTAGTAAATGCATTTAAAAGCAAGCCGTTTCCAGAATAAAACAGAACAGAAGCGAACACAGTGTGGCAATTATAGATATCGTTCACCTGGTGTGAACCCACAACTGCAGCTAATTGGAAATGCCATATATATACGTGTATATGTATGTGTCTGTGTGTGCGTGTGTGTGAGTTGAAAACATACAAATACACAGAAATACCCAATCAATAGTCTACACGTTCCTCAACATAAGCGCCAAATGCTAGACGTCGCCCAGAGAATTAGTGGAATCCGTTCAGATGCGTTACTTGTAATTATTATTTAATTCAAAAAAAAATACGGTTTAGAATTTATGCCAAAATGTAACTTCAATTTTATAATGAAACTACAGATGTGACACTGGCCAACATAACTGCTCGATTCTATATGTATGTATTGAGACTAACCTAAAATAAAGCACCGACTACTGAGACTTAAATAAAAACATATGCTAGCCAGCTTGAAGTCCGTTTGAAAAACATTTGTCTGGTCAAGTTTCAATAGCTAACTGAACATTAAATTAAGCACAGACATACGGAACACATATGTGCATATATATGTACATACAAACATGCGTACAATGACACTCAACTGAATAGGTTAGATTCTGAAGGTTTAACACGTTATAATTCTTTAAGCAAATCAATCCCCATTTTCGATTAAATATATTTTTTATTGTAGAAAAATTAATAATTTATGATCAACAAATTTCAGCTATGCAAATTTTCTTTTTATGCTTTTTATTATTATTATTATTTTTTTTTCATTTGGATTATTATAAAAATCTCTGTTTAAATTGTAATTGATGTTGTGATTTAAAGAGCTAATTTGTGTGGTAACATTAAAAACCATTATTAATTATTATTAGTAAAGTGTAACGTAAAATACCTTGAATGAGATTTAATAACTTAAAAAACAAAAATAATTTAATTGAATTTGAATAAACACTACCTAACAAGATTGGGTTCAATCAAAATATAATAAAATCTTTCTGTAATAACGGAAATTCGGCGAAAAGCTGTGCTACAAGGGTAGTTTGAAAAAAGATGTGAACCTATTCAGCTGAGTAGCACTGTATATCGCATGTCATTCGCTACGCATGTTTATCGCAGCAAACGTAATCAAAGGTAATTGTGCGGTACTTAAGTTGAATTCATATGTAAACATGTGTGTACATGCACACATATGTAGATGTAAACGAGTATAGGTGTGCCTATGTACATCACAGATGCATTTGTCTCTGTACTGTCACAGTAAACAGGTGCAAAGGTATGCAATTTGACTGCACAACAAACAAACGTATTAAACGCATGTGAAACTATTAATATTTTGAAAATTCATATTAAAATTCGCCTTTCACTCCAGAACTTTCAATTGCGCGTTAAACATGCTAAAGTACAGAGCGAAGGGTCCAAAGATTGTATACAATGAATATTATGATTATTAAAACAAGCTAGATCGAGATCAGACAGACGGAGAGAGGAAGAGGAGATAATGAACATGATAACGATGAATCACGTGATGCTTTGATAACGACTACGCCGGGAACTAGAAGTTTCAATCGACTCCGGATATCACAGTTGCGTACCTGATAGAACCTTAAGCAGTGCTGCTGTTGCTACTGTTGCTGTTCTGTTGCTGTTGCAGTTCTCTAATGCTTTTCAAATTGTACAAACAAAAACAAACATACATGAGTATGCATGCACATACGTACGTGCATATGTACATATGTATGTAGTATGTAAATATACAAGGCAGAGCCGCCAGGCAAGCTTTCAGCAACTATGTGCGTACTTTGCATCTAACGTACATATATATGTACATACGTGACTTTTTACATGTGTATTTGCCATACGTAAATACACGAAGCATTGCACGTCTGTGTGTGTGAGTATGTATGGTGCATACGAATGTAGCAATGCCCTATCAGATGAGCAGGCACAAACACATATATAAATACATGTGCAAAAAAGAACACGCACATACACCCACACATATGTGTATGTGCACAATAAATACACATACGCACACAGGCGCAAATCCATGTATTTTCTACGACACTGTTATTGTTTGATTGTTTTGGTCAAACTGCCACACAAATAGTTTTTGCAATATTTGGCACTCACATGAAATTCCATTTACCGCGTCACACGAGTCTTTGATTTAACTGTAAAGATTTTTAATAACTTGCTAGAGCTAAATATGTGTTTATTTTGATTTTCCTCAAGGCGAAACTGGTTGGGCCTGGCATACTATGAAAAAAACATATGTACAAGTACACACATACATATACATACCTTTTAGTAGCGTATCATATGCCCACGTAATTTTTTGGATTATTACAATATGTGTATATAGAACTGACACTTTGACGACTAATTATATTTCATTCAATATCATTAAAACTAATCTGTGTTGCTCGCAAAAAAAAAAAATATTAAGTTGTCAGAACCACAGCGATACCGATATACTTATAATTTGACTGGCGGCGACAATCGAGAAAGCGCTGTTGAATACATCGATATATAATTATTAACACTTATATCGATAAGTATAAAGCTATTGCGATAAGATATCGATATGTGGAAAAATAACCATAAGAGCGATATATTTGCATTTTTTTTTTCCAAATGAATATAAATTACTATTAATGATGAAATGCAATAATAATATCGCTTAACTCTCATGGGACACTAAAAATACAAGTCGCTAAGATTTTTCGCCTTTCAACCTTTGGACCCACCGTCCAACTAGTTTTAAAACACTAGTTTTGATTAGGTACTTGTGATTTATCGATAAGATATGATGATGCGATATTTTCCGTTCCCAATTTTAACATTCAATTTTATTTTTTGTAATAATAATAACCGCTTTATACATATGTATGTGTCAAGCGGTGGAAAAAATTATAATGAAATGCAAGAAGACTGTACAATATGTATAAAATATTAATATATTGGCCGTTAAATATAAACAATTTACACTTGGCGCTATTTTGTATATAAAAAGGCTCTGCCAAAGCTAAGACGACAATTATTGTCAACAATTAAAACGCAGCAGCCGCGATAACTTGGAAGGCCATATAAGCGGTAGCAATCAGTGCCACAAAGAAGGAGAGCGCACGTGCGGGCTGAGGCACCACGACAACGGCATAGACCAGGGTATGGACAATGCGTGAGATGCCAACAGCACGGAACAGATTGATGGCCAGAAAGGCGCTGGGGTTCGTTAGTGTGTAGAGCAGGCCGATAGCGAAGAAGGGCAGAATGTTCTCCAGATCGTTGCGATGCGCACGGCGCACACGCTCCACATTGGGGTCATCGAATTTAACCTTCAACTTTGGTGACATCAAATCCTCCGGATTGGCGAATGTCTAGAGAGCCAAGCGAAATAGCAACAACAATAATTGATAAATGCTCTCATAATCTATGCACTTTCACCTGCTGACCGGACTTTGACCTGGTAGCAACGGCTCCACTCTAGCTTACCTTGGTCTTGAAACGTTGCATGGCTGTAAGCAAAGACATGGCCAACATTTTGACCACCAACACACCGGCCCAGAACGTAAAGCTCTTGAACACCGGGTTGCTTAGTGTAAGCAGTTCCAGACTCATCTTTCTAATTTGATTTATTTACACGTTTTGTCAACTAACAGTGACTGAACCGCTTTCGTGCGTTGCAAACTATCAACTGGCGTGAGCGCTGCCTATATTCTTATTATATGCATGTGCGTAGGTATGTACATATGTATATATATGCCGGCGTATGCTCCGCTCTTTTGCGCGCCTTTCTCTATCTCTCTCTATACTTCTCTACTGTGCTCTCTGGCACTCTCTATCGCTTGTACGCTTATGTAGAAAGCGCCGAGTCAGACTGACACTATCAAAACAAAAAGAGCCCACATACACACACACACATATACATACATACATATATGTATGCATGTATATAAACTTACCAAAGTTATAAATCTCATAAGGCCTGTAAATAGGCTCATCGGAAACATTTTGAGCACCAACAACGCCGTCCAGCCGATATAGCAGCGGAACACCTCATTTTCCAGCGAGATTAGCTCGTATTGCAGCATTGTTTCGGCTTGACATTCACTTGGAGATTGACTCGCATTCTATAGCCTAGCCCCAACTACATGCTATATATGTATGTATGGATGCACTATGCACTTACATTTCTCGTGGGATGTCAATTCAATTCTACCGACAGCTTATCGGCATAATCTTAACTAAATAATTACTAAATATACGATTCATAAATGAACCGGTTTTGCTAGCCACTTAATTCCCCCTAAAGACATGTGTGACAGAGTCAGTAATATATGTACATATATATCTGTTTATATGTTCTTTGTTTACATTTAACCCTTGTCGAACTGGAAGATTGTTCGACTTCATAATTCAAAATCAATAAATATTAATTAACAATAAATTAGTTCGTGATATATAAACAACGTCAAGTCCTACAGAATCATTACACTTTATTTTAAAAAAAAGTTGGGTAAACCCTATTTTAGAGTATACCTCTAATGTTACTAGCGTCACATCTGCACATCAGAGCGATTAAATGAATTGACAAAAGCTCAAATAAAAAAAATAAAAATTACTGTAATTGCCGTGAATTGAAAACAAAAAGCGAATAATTTTCAAATTAGCCCAGATGCAACGATTTGGCGGGGGGCCTAGTATTAGTATAGAAATGCTGACAGCTCTAAAATTACTTACATGCACATTTAGTTGAAAGGCATTACGTGAGAGATCATTTAAAATTGCAAATAGAATCGATGCTGATTCAATTTCAAAATAAATAAATTATTAAGCTATGTGCAATGCAAAAGTCTAGTTTACATGAAGTAAACTTCATCATATCAAGAATTACGTGACTCTGATCATGACGCACTCAGATAAAGTCTTATAATGCATATAAGTCCTTCAATTGACGTTGTTCCCTTAAAGGTTTTATGTTAATTTTATACAGCTTATAAGCATATGCGTATAAGACTGTGAATCAGGTTTATATATGAGTTTTGTACTTAAAAATGTTGTGGGACTGCTCAAGCTTAGCTTATAAATACGCTCGTACAAACTCGTATTCTCTTTAGGATATTATTAGACTGCTCTAGCTCACACTTATACGAACTCTTCTATTTCTTATCAGACTACCCATTAGATCTTTAAATGGAACTATTTCCTTATGGATCTTAAGACACTGCTATTGCTTAGCTTATTAACCAGTTTAGACACGCTTATAAGGAGTATAAGACTTTCAATCAGCTCTTGGTGTTATTCTCTTAAGCATTTAACGACACTGATCATGCAAAGCTAATGCGCTTATGCTAATTCTTATAAGTATAAGACCCGATCAGTTCTCTAAATGATATTCTTCGAAAATTAAAAAATAAAATAAATTTTATAAGACTGCTCTAGCTTATAAGCACGATTTTACTTTAAAGTTTTTATGACACTGATCTAGCTCTAAGACAAACTCTTATATTATGTATAAGACTTTCAATTAGCTCTCTAATTCGAGTTTTCCCTTCATATACTCTGCAGTTAAGCCAATTTTGATGACACATGACTTGTGGCTCGTTAACCATTTTCTTTTATTTTCCTTAAAGATCCATGCATAATTGAAAAAAAAAAAAAATCGAATTTGAACTGACAAGCTCTGTTCAAAATGAACTCAAATTTGCAATTTCAACGAATCTAGAGCATAGCCAAGATCTAGCCAAAGGACGGGCATGGCCCATGGCTACGGTGCTCTCATTCAAGAGACCTTCATCAGAATTTAGTGAACAAATTAAAAATGCCAACTTATGCGCGCAAAGCTCAGTTGCAGCTTAACTCAATCAGCTGCAAGTTTGCTTGAAATATTCCTAGTAGTTGTAGTTGTTGTTGTTGTTGTCTTACTTAAACTAAAGTGCGCTGTAATCTCTCATCATAATCATCATCATCGTCATCAGAGTCAGCAGCAGCGTCTCCGCTTTTCATCGTTGGACTGAGGCCCAGTTGTGGGTCTGTCAGCATTTTGCCAAAGAAAACCGCAGGCGAGCCGCTCTTCAGAATGAACTGCCTCTTCCTCCAACGATTCTTGAGTGTAATTAATTAATTTCGCGCTCATTTAACTATGCGCCCATTGTTTGCTGCTGCTAAACATAAAACATAATGTGCTGAATTTACATAACATACGGATGGGGCTGCAATTGCAGCTCAGTGATCGTTCCGCATTGGTCGTGCACGCGCGTCGCATTCAACTCGAATTCCGATCGCCCTGGGCGCAGGCTCTGCTCAAAGGATATCAGAAGGGAACAATTAAATTATTTTATTTTTTTTTATTTTGTTGTGCTTGTGCGTACAATGTCTCACGGTGAACGAAAAGGTCGCCTGAATGTGGTTAAATTTTTAGAATTGGTAAATCAATTTGTATTCTGTTTAAAGTGCAAACGAACCATAAAAATGAAATAGTTAAGCAAACTAAAATCTCATTACAATATAATTATATGGCTTTACACTTAAATGCATAAGAGTGCCCTAGTCAGTGCCTGACTAGCAGATACCCTAACTGCTGTGCCGAATAGCTAACCAAAACAGTATTCGAGTTCTAAAAGAACTCAAAGAACTTTGATAACTCTGGTCAATGGAAAAGTATGAGCTAGGCTACATATGTATACAATAACAGTATTAGCTTTGCTATTGTAGAACAAAACTTAACTTTCTAGATCTGCTATATGAGTACTTATGTGCAACATTCCAAGTCTCTAGTTGCTCAGATATATTATATATGCAGTGCTAAATTAACTCTGCTGCTGATTCGAATTTACATATATATATAGGTTACAAGATCTATATATATATATATATTTATGAGTACGAATAACCACTTTCAATAGATTCTCAGGGTCAACAAAAACATTGCTTCCTTATAAGAGGCTTCATGCGTATACACATACGTATAAAAGAAAAGTAGCTATAATCCCTATCGTGGAATACTATGGCCCCTCAACTTGTGCAAGTTCTTTAAATATTGTATGATATGTATACAGTACACATACATATGTACCATACGTACATACCTATATTACATATACTGATAGTTATACAATACAAATATAGGCACACTTCAGTTACATATACGTATGCACTTCACTTTCAGTAAACAATTAGGGCTTTTCCATTGATTGTTTTGGTGATCTTGCAGCTGATCGCAGCGTTTCATATATATTATATTATATATGCGTATCCTTGTACTTGTATTACATATACATATACATATACATACCCTTATGCCATATAGAAAATATTATAAGTATACTTAAATTACACATACTTACATTTCAGTAAACAATCTATGTTCTAAATGATCTTGCAACTGAACTTATATATATTATTATTATATATTAGCATTTCTAGACTAAACATTTCGCTCTGCTTCAATATATATATATATATATATTTTTTTTTAGGCCTTTTCCGTTGCCTGCCTAGTGCTGCACTTCTATAGCTTTAACGATCGCGACATTATGACCTCGTTCATGGCGACGGGCACATTCACTGGGTATATTATCGTCGTCATAGGTGTGTTCGCAGGTAAACCCCAATCAATCAGCATGCATGCATGAATCCATTGGCAGTCATTATCAATGCTTTTATATCCTCCAGGCGTTCTGATGCGTGCACCCATTCACAAACGCATCGACATCTTCTTCAGCGTTCTGGGCTGCGCCCTGTTTGTGGCTAGCGGGATCTTCATAATCGAGGCCTGGGAGTTCTCGTTTCGTACACGCACCCGGGATCTGGCGCTGATCAAGGCATCACTGTCCATTGTGAATGGTGTGCTGTTTGGTTTCGATGCGATCTTTACATTTCGGGATAAATAATAGCTATCATGGTCAACAGACCCCCACCCACCCACATTTGACGCTGCATTTACAATCGTATTATACTTAAGAGACAGATACTTTCTGCATGCATACATACATACATACATAGAGCAGACATACGTACATACATACATGTTAGTTATGAAATCATAAATAATGTGTGACAAATGTAAAAGTAAGGCAAAAACAAAAATTAGGAAAAGGGACTTTGCTCTATTGCTAATACATAATTTGTTTTTATTCTTTTCTTTTTGCTTTTAAATAGTTTTTACAATTTTGTGTGCAATTTCATGTCAATAAAAAAATATACATGTGTATAATATATATAAAAGCCCGCATTGTGCATTAAAGGTGATTACAATTAGGCTAAACACACACAATACACACATACACACAGACACACACAAACAAACACAGAGAGCGAGTGAGTGAGTGAGAGCGCGAGAGAGAGAGAGAGAGAGAGGGAGAGACACACCCTCACTTGTAGCGGTACATCAATTAGCTGCTGACATGGAAATTCATGATGCGTTTATACATTGTTAAAGTAGTTAGATTTAAATTTTTATTGTGTTTGCTTTGTTTTTGCTTTTGTTGGTTTTCCATGATTCATTGACGTGAGAAAAATATGCACGTCGTCTTAAGTCATCATCACCATCATCATCATCGTGTTCTGGGGCATCTTTGGATGTTCTTGTTCTTGTTGTTGATGTAGCTGCTGCTGCTGTTGTTGTTGCTGCTCTGAGTTGTTCTGACGTTGTTGTTGTTGTTGTTGTTGTTGTTGTTGTTGTTGTTGTTGTTGATGTTGATGTTGATGTTGTGTTGCGTTGTCTTAGGCAGAATTGTGTATGTTAAGGCGGAAAATATCATGAGCAACGAAATAGGTACCGGCATTGGCTTTCAACACAAACACCTGAGAGAAAGCGTGTGGAGGATCGTCGTCGCACTGTAATTCGATTGAAAATGCATTCACATTACATAATATGTCAGCAGTAGCTAATAGCAATATTAAATAGAGCAATAATTGCGTATCATGTGTGCGGATCAATACGTGCTCAAAGATTAAACAAATTAGAAATTAAGGAGATTGATTAGAAGAAATTTGAAGGAGCAAAACAAAGTTGAGAACAGATAAATAGACCATATATACGCCGCATGAATGAATGGATATCTTCGGTGTACCGAAGCTCAAATACTCTTGCAGGAAATTTAAATAAACTATATCTCATGTACACTATGGACTTGTATATTGATATCTCATATATAAACAAGAACTTGATCTTTGACTATTCACTGAGTCCACTACATAAATAAGCTGATACGATAACATTTTCGACATTCTATATTCTAAATAAATCATATAAGACGATAATATACATATATGTATGTATCTTTATATATTGCTTGCTATTCATTTACATTGATAGCCCATTTTTGTACAAAAATAGAAGCTTCTATTTAACGATTTTAAAATACAGTATAATATATATACAGTATAATTGATCCGCTTCGATCATATCGATCTCATCAACTTGTATCCGGAAGCCACGCACTCGACAATTTGACTGCAAGGACACTCCATCCACATTAACTGATCCGAGGCAAAAAGTGCATAGAAGAAGCATCGCCGCGTGGTAGATACCGTTAAAACTATGCAATGCCAATAGTTGTTAATACTTTCAACAATAGCAATGACAATAACCTGCCTGTAGAGTAGAGCATAATGATCGCATATTGGCGCATCCGGCGACAGAATGGATACAGCTATAGTTAGGTCTGTCTATGTATGAGTGCATATATGTATATGTTTGTATTTATGTACAGAAATTGTTGTTTTGTATGCGAGTAGTGTGTGTTGATTGTTAGCATGGTTCAATAGAACAGTTATACCAAAAATATTTAACTCATTTAGTAGTAGGTCAATGTGGCAATTAACTTTTTGTTACGATTAGATGCAACAGAATGCTGTTTACTTTGCCTGGCCAGGATCGCTCTCTGAGTGTGATTTTGATTGTTGTTGTTGCTGTTGTTGTTTGCTGTAGCTGTTGCATTCGGCCGAGCTGATTGCGATTGGCTACACATTGTGCAGCGCAAGCCTAAAGATGTCGTGCTGCACAAAGAAGCTAACGCCCACAGGTTTCAGTACAAAGGTCTGAATATACGCATGCGGCTGATCCTCATCGGTCTGCATCAATATAGTCATATATGTATATATATATAGTTTCATATATATATGCAAACCTTCTTTATATAGATATATCGTTTTAATGCTCAAAGCTCTCATATGGTTCTCACCTGTAGTCGTCCGAGGACATTTATCAAAACACCACCATCAAATGTGGGCTGCGAGTCTACCGTTGTAATTACTCGAGTGATCTTTTGGAAAGTGAGGCTCTATATTACCAAAGAAAGACACAGAAGATAAAACATCAATTGCATTTCAATTTAGCATTACTCACCTGGACTTTCTCAAGTATTTTTGGCGCTCCTTGGATTTGGTGTCCTTCGAAAGTCATAAAGGACTCCGTTGCCTGGGAAAATGAAATGAGAAACATTTATAAAAATTCGATTAGTTTGTGAGTGTGTGTGCGCGCGTGTATGTGTGTGTTTGTGCATATACATATACAGCAATATATATATATATATATATATTTATATATTTGTATATATATACACACACACACATACGAATTATGCATACAACATGACTATTCGTGCAAATTTAGCATATATGAAGACGTCTGTGTCTATGTATATGTATGCGTGTGTGTGTCATACTTTTATATGGGAAATTTCGAGAAAGCCACATTATACCCTAACCTGTGCACACATATACATGTCTGATATTTATTTAATTATTGAACAGCATTTTTTGAGCGGCGAAATTCACGAAATAATCATTTGCGCGCTCTTTTTATCGGTGCGAGCAAGAATTATGCTCTAGGCATTTTTGTCAAGGGCGCCATGCGCGTCACCTCTGCGACTGGGAACAATAATATTGCCCTTGTTCGTGTACATACATACATATATGGCAGCCAATGATGTAGAGTGTGTATGCTGCTTAGGTTCCCTATCGAAATTAAATAGTCAAAGAGTTTCCATTGCCCAATGTGGGACGCCACTTACGCTGTAAAAGTTTACCACATTGGCGCGGTTCGCCGGGTCGTCAAATATGCCATAATATTGCTGAACGAAGCCTTTACCAATATCTTCGTATTGTGGATTTAGTGCCATTTTGTTGATGAATTATTTAGTTAATTATAATTGGAAGTCTTGACTATAATTTGAGGCTAACTATACAGCTTATCAGATATTTTGGTTGACTTTATGAAACTAAGAGACACAGAAAACGCGAGACACGGCGAAAGTGTGACCAATAGCGAGCACCACCTACATTCGCATATAATTTTCTTTTCAACATAATTCAATTATTTCGATTACTCGATTATAAACTAAAAACATCGATAAGCAACTAAAAAGTGTGTTGGTAATAAAAAACATAAATTGATTCTGCAATAATTTGGCTAGTCTCCATACTATACCTATTTTTGAATTTGCTTCTAATTTTGTTTTTGTTTTGTTTTATTTTATTTTCATTAAAATTTTTCATACGTACACATATGGAACGATGGAAAAGTCAATGTATTATTTGACTTTAAAAGAACGGTAACACTGCAACACTCTGAATTCCAAACGGCTGTGCGTTTCGTGCGCAAAGCGATTAAAGAGGTTTTAGTATTAAAATGTTAGCCTTAGCAAATCTTTCGCAACTTTGTCGTATTTGCCTGCGACATTTGCGCCAGCAGCAGCAACAGCAACAGTCACCAAATGCAACACCAGCCAGAGATACTCATTATCTGCAAAGGAACAAATCGAGCTACAATTCGAGGGCTCTTCCACACTTGGCAGAAATGTTGAATCAGTTTTTTGCCATTGACATTTTTCAGCAACCGGACACCTTTCCACAGCAAATATGTGCACTTTGCTACAATGCCATGGAATACTTCCAGCAGCTATGCACCGTCGCCGAGCAGAGCAACGAGATGTTGAGGCACCTGGAACTGACCTTGATTGAGCAGCCAGAAGTTCCGATCCCAAATACAGGCTCTGATGCTATTGCTGCGGATGCTGATGTTGATCACTCGGTTGGTATATACAAATCTTTACAGTTGAGTCAGCTAGTTTTAGGGCTGAGCTAGCGTTTTTGCAGTTGCCGCTTGTGAAAACGGAGCCCATGGAAGATGAAGCCGAACATCAACAAGAATACGATTTCGAGCACGACAGAGATGCCGATGCTGATGCTGGCTTAGATGCTGATGCCGATGCTTATGCTGATGCAGACGTCGACGTCGATCGCAGCCGGGCTTCAACAAATGATGATGAGACCGTCATGAGCAGCTGTGCAGCAACAGAGGAGGCAGAAGCAGAAGCGGAGGAGGCGGCAGCTGCGGCGGCGGTTGCTGCTGCCAACAAACGGAAGCTGCTCGCCTGCGAGCAGTGCGGCAAGCAGGTGTACAAGCTGCCTTATCTGGAGGCGCACATACGCAGCGTGCATGAGGGTCATCCGAAGCCGTTCCTCTGCCGCAACTGTGACAAAGCTTTCACACGATACGAACAACTGCGCTCGCATGTGCGCAACGTTCATCCGGCTGTGGCCGCTGCCACAAAGGCAGCCAGCGACGAGCTGGAGCTAATCTGTGAGCAATGCAATCGCCGATATAGCACCAAAAATGCGCTCGGTGAACACCTGAAACGGCATGCAAAGGAGAAGCCGCACATATGCGAACATTGCGGTGCTGCCAAGGTAACGCGCACCGAGCTGCTCACCCATCTGCGCATTCACAATCCGGACTGGGAGAAGTTCAAGTGCAAGCAATGTCCACAGCTCTTCCGGCATAAGAGCGCCATCAGCAGGCATGTGCGTGTCGTCCACGAGGGACAGCGACGCTTTCAGTGCGGCCATTGCCAGAAGAGATTCGGAACCCATGCCTCGCAGCTGCGGCACGAACGCCTGCACCTGGATAGATATTAATTTGATCAGAGCTAGTGTATTAATAACATTCCAAAAACTATGTTATGTATATGTATTCGATTCCAATTTTGTAAAAACTGTATTCTATTTTTTTTTAACAATTTATTTACATCCATCAATCACATCGAGCACATTGATATATGCACAAAAAAACAAAGCTCAGCTGCTTAGCAATAAAGCGAGCTTTAATTAACGTTAATTGTAAATGTTTTTATAACAGGCCGTACTTAACATTCCTGTTATCCTGGATATCTGGTTAATCTTATAATTTAACAATCTCAACAGTCTTTGATTGCCATATAACTATGCCTTAACAATTATTTTTAACAGTCAAAACTCAACACTCTTTAGAACTAAAAATTCTGTAGAGCTAAAAAAGAGCATATAAATATTTTTGTACAATTTAATAGAAGTTTTATAGACAAATATGAGAGCCATATTTATTCCGGCTACCTTTTAGTCTGGCATACCGAATTATATTTAACATATATATATATTTTTTTTAAGATTTGGGTGTACTTATTATATTTGATATTGGAAAATATCTGGAATAGGGAAAGCCAAAAAAACAAAATTTTGGAGTTAGTTTCCATGACCTTCAGCCTTCACTCTCTATATAGAGCTACAGACATACCCCATTAGCTATCCTGCTTTGAGTAATCAACACAAATCAGTCCGTCCATCAGTCAATCGGTCCAGTCATCATAAAAGTTGCTGAGACAATTTTGATACACAATATGAATTATTTGAACAGTTGAAGTGAAAGTGATCCTAGCGTATAATCCGTGCCGGGCCAGCGCAAAAGTTGCCAACTTGCCGTGAGCCGAACTCTTTGTTAAACCAATTCTTCATGGAAACCACCCAGTACTCCATTTGGCAGTCGTGCGTGTGTATCTCGATGAGTTGATTTAGCTCCCTCTGAACGTCCCTGGCCAGCTGCAGCTCGTTGTCGTCGAAGGCGTCGCAAATCCTGTGCACCAGATCGGGGCGAATGTTAACAACGACCAGACTGCTGCAATTGAAGCCGGACATGAGGCCGCTGGCCAGCAATGCCGTGGATGCCAGCATGACGACACGTCCGAAGCGCAAACAGCGCTGACCCATCTCCAGATCGGCGCTGGCATAGTAAAGACCCATAAAATTCGGTATGCACTTTTCGGCCTTCGAGCAGAACTCAACCATGTCTACTGCAAGGCAGATACAAGCATTACAACTCGGAGACCTTGGCTTTTGCATTAGCAGCGGCAACTTACGCTCCACGCCCGTCATCGAGGGCATGTGATAGTAGAAGAATGGTCGGGTTGGGCAACGGCTGGAAACATTCAGGCAATATTGAACCAATTGATCCACATTGTGCGGACGATAGAACAGCTCAGGTAGTGTGACAACGCCGCTAACGCGTACCAGCTCGGCGTGGGCGGCCAGCGAGAGGACATCGGGCAGCGGCGCTCCACCTACCTGAACCATTATCATCAGATTATGCCGGACGGCGGCACGCTGCCAATATTCGCAGTTCGCCTTGCGTTCGCGCACACGCATCATTGGACCCTCGCCGACGACGCCATTGATTAGGACTCCCGAAATCATTTGACTGCGTAGCCATTCCGCATACCGATTAATGGGACGCACGTCCAGAGATCTACGACTGCACCCACATACATATATATATACATTCATGTGCGTGTATATAGGTGTTTGTCGGCAGATGGTTTATAGACTCACTCATCGTCCTTGAAACAAGTAAAGACCGGGGCTAACAGTCCCTGAAATCTTGAATTGAATAACCCTGTTTCCTTGGACGGTGAAGTCGGTGTTGTAAGTTCGCTTTCTGCTTGCTCGTCGTCTTCTTCTTCTTTTTCGGCCCCCCGCTCTACAGAGAGTTTTTAATTAGTTTATACTATGTATAGAAGAAAGATACGACATAGATTACCTGCAGTCGCTGGCAGTTGGGGCTCACTGATTCGGCTTTCCGATGATTGCGGGCCCTTTTCACGTTTTGCCTCCTCTGTCTTACGAAACCAGGCCATAGCGCCGGGTAGAGGCAAAGTTGTCCAGGGCTACGATAAATTTTGATGAAATATTTGTTTGAATTGAGCGAAAAGTCGCAAACTGCGCAGTAAATAAACGTATTCATGTATGTGTATCAATACAAAGTAGGTGCTGGTGCTAGCGCATATTCAAAGTTTGGCGGCATTTTCCGGTATGACCAAACATTGTTTACCAAAGCTTAAATATCGGTATACTTTAACTGCTGAAAACAAAAACAGAACACTAATTTTATCTAACAGAGATAAAAATCGTTTGACTTGTGAGAATGATATTTACTGTCTATTTTTATAAATACAGGAAATTAAAATTATCCGTATCAAACTTATGCAGTCGATACCATTACTAGCCATAGCAATAAATAATGATTTTTTAAGAATCCTCGTAAGACAAAAACTAAATATGATAAAACGCACCCCAATTTTTGATAGAATGTGTTTTTTTTTTGCTTGCGGCTTATTTGAAGACTAACTGTTTAAATTTATTTGGTTATCTATCGATTGTTGACTGTTTTAATAACGATATTTTTGTATACCAATATATTCATGAACTAGAAATTGAACTACAATCGATACAAGTTGTTTTACAAAAATCGATACTGCCTCATTGTGAAATCGTTCTCCGTAGTGAGCAGATCGGGTTCTCCGTGAAAATTCTTAGAAAAAAGAAAACAAATATATTTTTACTTTTCGTAACGGTGAGTGTGCCTTCACATTTATTTAATTTGTTTTGTTAGCTGAATTTGTGTTGTGCTAAACGGTGAATGTGACAAGTTTAATGCTATCAGCGGCGTAATTAGTGTGTGCAATAGTCTGTTGTTTTGGTTTTTTTTTTTTTTTTTTGGGGTGCTCCTATAGACGGCCGGCGGAGCACCACTTTTCCGTGCTAGCTTAGCTTTTTTTATTTTAGTGGATACACACACGGCGCAACAACGATGGTGACTTCGTTTGCACGACGAATGCATGGGCACACTTTAGTGTGGTGTACTTGCGTTGTTGCCTTTTTCAAAATGGCGGCCATTGCAGACGAGTTGGAAGTAAAAAGTTTATAATAATTGCGAAATATTTATTTAATCCACCGAAATATTGGAGGTCTGTTAATGTGCTAATGAGGAATGGAGTGCGCATATGTTTATGTTTTTATTCTGTTCGTCTGATTTATGTTGTAGTTTCTTAAAGTTGACTTCCAGTATTTTGATTATTGTTATTTTTATTTGACTAAATTGTATGTATGTGTGCATACTGGCAGACACACGTACACATGCAAACACTCGTTTTGTGACACATGCGCATCAGCATTTAAACGTGAGCTTGTACGTGCCTATATAC